AGAAGAAGAAGAAGAAGAAGAAGAAGAAGAAGAAGAAGAAGAAGAAGAAGAAGAAGAAACAAGCTAACAGCGTACTTTTCTAATGCTCAAAAACAACAGCGACATCATCCTCGCCTCCCCCAAAGCAACCTTCGGCCTCCCCGAAGCCTCTCGCGGCCTCTACGCCGCAGCAGGCGGTCTCTCGCGCCTCGTCCGGCTGGCAGGAATGACACTCGCGAGCGAAATCGCCCTCACAGGACGTAATCTCTCCGCCGCCGAAGCTCTCCACCACGGCATCATCAACCGCATCTCCCAGACCCCCGCCAGCCTCGTCCCGGAAGCGATTGCAGTCGCGGAGAAAATGTCAGAATTGTCGCCGGATGCGATTATTGTGACGAGGCATGGATTACGAGAGAGTTGGGAGCTGGCGAGTGTAGAGCGAGCGAGTCAGAGTACGGATAATCGGTATGGGAGGGCGTTGAAAGAGGGAGAGAATTTGAAGATTGGGTTGAGGGCTTTTAGAGAGAAGAAGAAACCGAAGTGGGTTGCTAGTAAGTTGTAGTTTTTCTGTCTGTCTGTAGTACTCTGTATGAGTTGCGAGTATCGACCTTATTCAAAGAATGAAAATGAAGGAAAAGAAGAATCTACTGTATAGAGAAGGGAGTGATACCGATACCTTAGTACCTTATGCATAGTATGCACACCTGCGTGCATATTTTATTTTTATCTCCATTTTGAAAAAAAAAAACAACCTACCAACCAGCAAGTCGTGTAACCTTGTCAAAGAAAAAAAATTGACAGCCCCTAGAGAACCTGTCTGCCAATTTTATGTCTGTTGTGTTACCTACCTGTATATACATAGACACATACCTTACATATATCACACCCGACAGATACATCCATCTATCCATCTATCCATCTGCAGTATATATGCTATACATACTATACATACTATAACGGTACCTGGGTAAGCTAGCTGCAATAATTAGCTCCGGCACGGATCCGGCCTTCATTCGGTACATTACCGCTAGATGTAGCCGACCGATAGTATTCAGATTCATAAGGTCAGGTCAGGTTAGGTAAGGTAGTGTAACATTCTGCTTGTCTCGCCTCGGGTCCGTTGGTCGTTTGGTCGTTTGGGTTGCCTATTTAGGGCAAGGTTGAAGTTTTTGTTTTGTAGGTATGTTTTGTTTCTTATATAGAGAGAGAGACTGAGAGAAACAGAGAGAGAGACTTGTGTCTTAGATCTCAGGTAGTATGTATTACTAAGGAGGTAGAAGGTACCTTACCTATACTCTTCTTCTCCTTTTTTTTCCTTTCTCCTTGTCTCAGTTTCATACCGTAGGTAGCAAAGTCAAGTAGGTAGTATTTCTATTGCGTGTCCTCCCCGATTTCGGAAAACGAATACGAGAAACCTTTTATTTTTTTTTTGTTTTGGTTTGACTCTCCCTACCTCCGTAAGTACCGTAGGTAAATAGATGTCGTCAAGACTTTATTGGTTCAAAGAGAGGTTATTACCTATTCTTGACATCCGTTTCGTTCCATAAGGTGGGTATGAACTAATTATTGACTACTACGTTAGTGCCCCAGAATTTCGTGGTTGTTGCTGTTGTTGCTATTATTACGATGAGTCCGTATTCATTCGCGATGGTTGTTATACGATTGTTTCCAATCGCATGAAAGCTGACAACATGTACCTAAATAACCTACTCAAAGTAGGTTGTACCTCCTACATGTAGGCATACATGCTAGTCCTTCGAAACCTAGTTCCATTCCTAGTGCCTTACTCAAAGCAGTAATCGCATCGATGCAAGCTTTTTTTTTTTTCCTTCTCGCGCCTGACCAACGGTGCATATCACATGTGTGCAGCATTTGGCTTTGGTTGGACCGAGCATATCGTGGTTTTCCATGTCTGGGAAGGGCTGACTGAATGCATCGGCCAGACCTTTTTCCTCTTATTGCAGCCACCAAATGCAGTTAGCGTGCATGAGTATCTGGTACAGATTTGGATGGACGTCCGTCTCGGACCGGCAGTTGATGAGGAAGTGATGATACCTCGATATATCTATACCGGTCACTTCCTCCGTGAGACATGGTCCTTTCCCTTCTTCTGCTGCTGCTTCTTCTTGTTGTTGTTTTTCTTCTTCTCCTTCTTCTTCTTCTTCTTCCTCCCTCTGCCTGATCACAGCTGTATCATAACATGACAAGGGAGTTCTCTTTCAGGATCGAATGAATCATCACTATCCCCAGCAGGAATCAGCATGAGATATGGACAATGTCATCTTCCACGGAGAACGAGACGAACACACTCGGCGACAGGTCCGCTCAGCAGCGGCAGCCCACAGTCACCGCATCGGCCCCCGGAAACCAAAGACGACAGGAAAGCAATCCCATGGCCGCGCGAGCAGCAACGGCAGTAACAGCAGCAGCAGCAACAACAACAACAACAACAACAATAACAAAAAAGGCGAGACGATGAATAGGCGTCGCGCGATGACCAGGCCAGTAACGAAGCCAGGTCGGGCAACGGGCGCGAGCAAAGCGAATTCCCACAACAGCAGCAGCATCGTTGAAATGCCCCCGGCCCCTTCGATCGTTGGATACCCTCAGGGCACGCAGCACGTCTGGGGCAGGGCTGGACGCTTGGATAGCCAGGTGCACGGCATGGGCATGTTGAATCATCCACATCAGCCGCCCTCGGTGCTCACTCGACGTCGGCCGGAGGAAACGCACAACGGCAGCGAGCGGCGCGCGTTATATCGTGCACATCAGCCTACAATAATGAAGAAGAGGTCGGCGGACACGCGAAAGCTGCCCGTGTATTCCTGGACTGAATATCCACGATACACTTTGGGATCGAGCTACCCCCGGGAGGCGCTGGAGATGCTTGCCGATGCCGCCGCTTCGGCTCGGGGGATGCCGCGATCGAGTGTCCCTGCCGAGTGGGCAGGCGGTGCCATGCTCGACCTGCACCACTTCACCACCTCTGCCGACGGACGACTGTTGCTGCCGCCATTGCCACCGCTGATGCCGCCGCCGCCGCCACCGATGATGCCGCCGCCGCCGCCGCCGTTGGTTGCCGTCGAGAGGGGTGGACACGCACCGATGAAGGTGGAGACAGCGGACTTGGCGCCGCCACGCCACCACTTCAGAGCCCCGCCGTGCGCAGAATTTACATCTGATACACCCCCCAGCAAGACATCACCTGCGCCCCCGTCGATATCTCCAGGATGAAGATGCATGCACCAACATGGCCATTCATCGGGAGCACTCGCATGTTTGACTGGCTGTAGTGCCCCTGTATAATCAACAACATACATGTATCGTGTGAATAATGTAACGCACACCACCTTGCAGTGAACGACCTGCATACCTGAGCAAACGATGGACCACCACCGCGAAGGAAAATATCCATCGCTGGCCATGACCATGAGAGAGGGAGGAAGAATCGCTCAATCAGGTATGGTATGGTATGGTATGGTATACCCGAGGGCCACGAGGGTTGCGTACCTGTACAGCCTGGCAGGCAGAGCTACACAAAGCTGGGAGCGCTAGAAAGAACGATGCGTCTCATGCTACCTGCATAAATGTACGCTCCCTAGACAAATAGAAAAGGGCCCTTTCAGAACAACAACTTGAAAGAAATTGGTCAGCACGAAATGACCTCCCACTGACGAGCTGACCTCACATCTACTACTCCCATGCGCGAATCGAGTCCGACACCGACCACAACCTCTCCATGCACACGTCCATGGGTGACAAGCATTGTCGTGCTGTCGAGGCTCAGCTTACGGGAAGAGGTGACACAGCAAGGATGAGAAAACGACAAAATCAACAATCTGGCGAGGGGAGGAAGAGATGAGAGGTCTCCCAATCGTTACACATGATAGTATGCTGCCAGAAGCTAGCTCAGATTGATGAGTCGCGCAAGAGATGCTAGATGGTCATGCTGAATACGAACAAAGATCTGCTCGAAATATCTCACCGTCCAAGTGATCGCCCTCCCAGACGACGACAACACCAACATCGCCGGTGTCTTTGAAGAAGAAGAAGAAGAAGCCACACTCAAAACCGAAGGTGTAGGAGACAACGGCCGAGCAACAGTAGTAAGTAGTAGTATCCCCAATCGACGATCGAGACAATCTCCGTCCTCACCTTCTCGCCCCCCTCAACGCCAAGTCCACAACTTCCTGATAGTCCGGATCAATCCACGGAGCAATACAAGCCTTCCCCTTCGCACACAGTCTCCTCATCTCCTCCACATCCTCATCTCTCCACGCCAAACCAACAAATCCCAGCTTCTCTTCAATCCACGCTCTTTCATCCCTCATCCCTCTCCTCCTCTCCACCAACACACCGCCTCCTTTCCCCATCAACAACAACTCCCCCACATACTCCCTCCATCTCACCTCCCTCCTCAGTCCCAGATGCTCCACCACGCACGCCACACAAGCAAAACCTTGTCCTACATCCCGCGGTTGCTCCCAATCAGGTACCGTTCGTGCATGGCAATTTCTTGCGCAGGGTTCTGGGGAGAATGTGAGGATTTTGTGGCCGCAGCTGAGAATGTGGTCGAGACTGAAGGATGTGCAGGGGTCGCCGAGGTGCGCGGTGGTGTTGTACCAATGGGGGGCGAGAGTGGGGATGAGGTGGGTGGTTGAGGGGCGGTGGTGGTTGTGGGTAGTGGGAGGAAACTGGAGGGGTTGTTGAGATGGTGATGATGATGATGATGATGATGATGATGATGGTGATGGTGATAGTAAGGAAGTAGTAGATTGACCAAACCTCGGAAATACGGGAATCTTCTTCCTTGCCATTCTTCCCGCTTTGAGCTTATAACTTTTCAAATGAGAATCTGAAGTTTTTGTTGTCGTGGCAGTGCTAGTGGTAGTGCTAGTGCTAGTGGAGATTCCTACCTTGGAAATAGCCAGTCTCAAAGGCTTTGACAGTACTACCTGTAGCTGTTGTGATTGTCCCGAATCGGAGTCCGAGTCTGTCATTATATATACAGTACTTAAGGCCGGGAAGGGAAGGGAGTGGGGGAGAAGCAGGATGTTGATCAGTAAGGTAAGTACAGTCAGTAAGGTAAGGTAAGGTCAAGTAGTCTCGAACCCCTCTGGACCTCTCCTTCACGCGGGAGACTTTTTTCTCGATTAATTGATTGAGTGATTGTCTTGGTGTTAAGAGGTCTAGATGTAAAGGGACCTGGTATCTTGAATGTAGTTGGTTGAGGTGGTTGAGGTGGTTGGTTTGCTGTTGGGAATCAGGCGTGCGTGCGTGCGTGCGTGCGTGCGTGTGTGTGTATGCGTGTGTGTGTGTGTGTGTGTGTGTGTGTGTGTGATAACTTGAAGGGTAAGGTAAGGTAAGGTAAGGTATTTGGAGATCCAGCTCACTTTGAGATTTTGATTTTGATTTTGACTTGAATTGATGACAGGTACTTTACGAGAGATGGATGTTGAGGTTCCTTACTCTCTCTCTCTCTCTCAAAAGAAAGTAGGAAATATGTCGTTCTGCGTTTGAAGGGGTTAGTTGCTCTGAGGGACTTGATTTTTTTTTTGGTTTTCGAAAGGAGAGAGAAGGGAGGGAGGTCAGGTTAGGTAGGTCAAGACTCTGGGATTCTCTGGCTTTAGGTCTTTGTTGCTCGTTGGTCTTATGAATTGATCAGATGGTCGAGTACTAGGTAGTCTTTGTCTGGCTGTTTGTTCTTTGAATAACACTGCTAGCTGCTTTGTCTGTCTTGGGGGAGGTGAGACATTTCCATTTTCTAAGGGAGTTTGGGATAAAGGAATAAGGATGATTAATATATGGCAGGTAAGTGAAGAGGGTACATTTGTGTTTGTTATATACAATGCGATTATGGATATGTTATAGTAGTGGTGAATACATTCTAGAAAGACAACGTTATAGTATAGTGGATGTAGGCAGACTAGTGCCCTCCTTTGGCAATATGGTCGACATGCGTGAATAGGTATAGTCTTCGGATGTTCATATACTGACTGTATCGGGAAGGGTTCGATTACTTTCTCTAACTTCAAGGTTTAAGAGGTAGTAAGAGCTGACGAAAGTGAGGTAGACTCGATTCTCGGTTAATCTGATCACGTGCGCCGGCTTCTCGATGATTCCTCCGATGCCGCCACCCATCGCCTCGGCATTAGATGTACCTCCTGGTCGATAGACAGTCCATAGTAGTGACGCCTTCACGTGCACCTCACATATACATACAGCTGCTGACAACCACGCCTCCGCCACTCAACCCTTTCTCCTTTGTCCTGTGACCTCGCAGATATGTTGTAGACCGCAGCCTCCCCTTCCGAAACGATACACTCCATCACGCTCTGAACACTCTCATCAACATGGCCAGCCGATCTCGCACTCTCCCACTCGTCCCGCTGCCTTACTCCGTCGTCCTGCTCCCCGGAGTGACTACACGCCTCCCTCTCGCGAACCGAGCCGATGTTGCCGCCATCCTCGCCCATCTCTACAGCAAGGCCGCCACTCCCCGCCCCGAAGCCAGTAGTGTCACGGTCGGGTGTGTTCCACTCAATAGCCCATATCTCACGTCCGATGGGGAGCAGTTCATCGACGAGAAAGATGTGAAGAAGCAGGCGAATGAGTTGGACCCCGCCCATGCTAGGACAAAGCATCTGTTCCAGTATGGCACCTTGGCGAGAGTCACTGGCGTGCAGGGTCGACGAGCGGGAGAGTTGACCTTGGTGCTGGAGGGCATTAGTCGATTCAAGATCGACCACATCACGAACGAGAGACCCTACTTTGAAGCCCATGTCACTCTATGTCAAGAGCAAAAGGTGGCCGATGATGATGAAAAGGTGCACGACATGTTCGCCAATCTCAAACAGTTGAGCCGAGAGTTCATCGCTCTGATTCGATTGTCTGCTCTCTTGCCACGGGGGCCACAGATGAACCTGTCCCCGATACTGGCACGCCGGCTCGAGCTATATATCGTGCGGAAGGATGTCCAGGAAGCGGGTGTGTTGGCGGATTTCATGACCAACATCATCGACTGCAGCCAAGAGGACAAGCTCCGCATCTTGTCAGCTACGGGCGTGGAGGAGAGACTGGAGAGGATAACGGAAATACTGCAGCGACACATCACCACCATACAAGGCAACAGTCGCATCCTTTCTGTGACAACTTCGCCGAACCCCAATCAGACCGCCGTCATCGACCTCGACACACTCACGAAGCTGAGGCAGGATCCTCGATTCCAGCGCAAGGGTGCCGGCCAGATACCTCCGATCGGTATGGGTCCAGGCATGGGCGGTGGCCAAGGACAGGACGAGGAGGTCAACGAGATAGAGGAGCTGAAGAAGAAGTTGGATGCGGCGGGTCTGAGTCCGGAAGCACAAAAGGTGGCAGATCGGGAGCTGAAGCGATTGGCGAAGATGAACCCTGCGCAAGCAGAACACCAAGTGTGCAGGAATTACCTCGAGAACTTGGCCGAGATCCCGTGGACGAAGATGACCGAGGATAATCTGGACACGGGCACATTGCAAAAAGCCAAGAAACAGCTGGATGACGACCATTATGGATTAGAAAAGGTCAAAAAGCGGCTGACCGAGTACTTGGCGGTACTGAAGCTCAAGCAAGCAGTCAACCAAGACTTGGAGAACCAGATTGAGCAAATTGCAAAGACCGCTCAACCGGCGCAAGAGCCTGCGCAAGAAGAAGCGGCCATCAACGGGGAAGAAGATGTGGCGCCGTCAACACAGCTTGTGAAGAAGGATGCAGCAGAGAAGAAGGAACCAAGTGATCGGGAGATCAGTCTGCTGAAGCACAAGAAAATGGTCGACAAGTCGCCTATTCTGCTTCTTGTGGGTCCCCCAGGAGTGGGCAAGACGTCGCTGGCCAAGTCTGTCGCCACAGCTCTGGGTCGCCAGTTTCATCGCATTTCACTTGGTGGTGTCAGGGATGAAGCGGAGATCCGTGGCCACAGGAGGACGTACGTGGCAGCTATGCCTGGCCTCATCGTGAATGGCCTCAAGAAGGTTGGTGTGGCGAATCCCGTTTTTCTGCTGGATGAGATCGACAAGGTTGGCTCTGCCTCCAACCACGGCGATCCATCAGCAGCGATGTTGGAAGTGCTTGACCCGGAGCAGAACTCGACTTTCGTCGACCACTACGTCAACATTCCTATCGACCTCAGCAAGGTCCTATTCATCGCAACGGCCAACTCACTGGACACCATCCCAGCACCGCTTCTTGACCGCATGGAGACGATTCAACTATCTGGCTACACGACACTGGAGAAGCGTCACATTGCCCACCGACATCTTATTCCGAAGCAAATCACCACGAATGGTCTGAGGGCAGACAATGTCCTCATGCGCGACGAAGTGGTCGACAAGATCATCACATCATACACTCGCGAAGCCGGTGTTCGGAATCTGGAGCGAGAGATTGGCAGTGTATGTCGCTCCAAAGCAGTCCAGTTCGCAGAAGCGCGAGATACAAACACACTACCCGCCTATACACCCGTCGTCACCGTCGATGACCTCGAAGATATGCTCGGTATCGAACGATTCGAAGAAGAAATCGCGGCGCGCTCATCCCAACCAGGAGTAGTCACTGGCCTCGTAGCCTACAGTACCGGCTCGCAAGGCAGCATCCTCTTCATCGAAATCGCCGATATGCCAGGCTCCGGTCGCGTCCAGCTCACAGGCAAACTGGGTGACGTCTTGAAGGAATCCGTCGAAGTCGCTCTCTCCTGGGTCAAATCCCACGCCTACGAACTCGCTCTCACCGACAACCCTAGCGAAGACATCATGAAAGCGCGCAGCATCCACGTCCACTGTCCCTCGGGCGCCATACCCAAGGACGGGCCCTCGGCAGGTCTCGCCCACACCATCGCTCTCATCTCCCTCTTCAGCAACAAACCCGTCCCTCCCACCATCGCCATGACAGGCGAAGTGGCGCTCCGCGGCAAAGTCATGCCGGTCGGAGGCATCAAAGAGAAGTTGATTGGAGCATTACGTGCGGGTGTGAAGAAAGTGCTCCTTCCACAACAGAATCGCAAAGATGTGAAGGATTTGCCCCGGGAGGTATTGGATGGGTTGGAGATTTTGTTGGTGGGACACATCTGGGAGGCATTGCCGTTGATTTGGCCCGAGAGTGAATGGCCTGGTCAGAGGGGTTGGAGTGGAGTCGAGTCGAGATTGTGATGCTGATGATGCTGATGATGATGACAATGATGCGTTTGCGTTTTGCGTTTTTTTGTTTGGTTTGAGGGACGAGTTTTGTATAAAACTTTTTTATATATTGTTCTGTACGAGGATGAATTGAATCGGACCTGAAAATGTGGATGAATGAATGATGCAAGGAAACATGACTCAATTATCGTGTTTTTTTTTTCATCGTACTAACTACATGTATGTTTGTCAGGATCCGTTTCACGATACCTTTCCTTTACAGCTACACGTACATTGGTTCTTTTTTCTTTTTCCTTTTTCCTCTTTCCCTTTTCCCTTGTCATCTACATACATACATACATGTAAGCATCACCAAGGTAGCCTGCCGTCGTATCTCTCAGACATAGCCACCTCGACCTTACTTCTACATCTCTCGGTTGTACGTACGTACGTATATACCTAGACAGCAGCCAGCCAGCCTTGTTTGATACCTTACCTGAACAAGTCATAATTCGGGATTTCGGAGTTTGGAGGGAGGTAATACCTACATACCTCCTAGTAGAATGCAACTAAAAGTCTAGATGCGTCTGAGGTGAGGTGAGGTGACCTGACATGTCGTATGATAACAACAGCTTCGATGTTCTTGATGCGCGCGCTAGTTTGCTTTAGCGTCGGCTTCCGTACATCCGGCCAGTAGTGACTAAGGTAGCTTAGCTCTACCTCGTACTAGCAAGATGATTTGCAGACTGTTCCTGTTTGTGAACGCTACCAACTACTCTGCCCTGCATCCGTTGTCAATAATACCCTACTGTATCAAAAGCTATGCTGATTAGGTATAGTATACGGGTAGGCATAAAATAGCATGTGTTCCGGGAAGTTTAAAGGTGCAATGGAAAATGGAAAATGTGGGTCATCCTCCACACGTTCCCCGCACTTTCGGCCTTATGCAGGGTTGAAGGATGAATGATTAGCATTCACTCTCTCTAGTGGGGGATTGCGGGCAATTGAACAGATGCGACAGGAAGATCGTTGCAGTGCTGTTTCCCAAGGAACGATTGACTTTGACAACCTGATCGGCGGGGTCGTCCAGTCCTGGGCAGATGAGGGTGCGAAAGAAAGAGGGCGTAGCTGAAAAGATTGATGGCTAGATCGTGTCTCGGTCGACAGGACACGGTGAATTGGTGACTGTACAGGTCTAGACACACGCCCGCCAAGAAGATGGAGAGGGAGGGCGCTGATGCTAATGCAGTCTGCGTTGGGGTCACGACGCGGACGAACAATCAAAGCCAAGACGTCTCACGGGTGTACAGCATCGCCCAGCTCGTGTCCATCCCGGTGAGTGGGTCCCAATGATGGCATATGTGTCGTATTTTCAGCCCCGACTCGGTGTGAAACCCGGCTTCCATTTCGTACGTGTTCCCATCATGGACACAAAATGCTGCAGATGGAGGCAGTAGGTCGTCCCAAGTTGGTACGTGCCGTGACAGTCTGGCGACTTGTCTTGCCATCAAGGTGCTCACCGTGATGTCCCAGCTGCTCATATAAGTAGGCATGAGGCAACTGTCGCCAAAGCTGTCCACATTCTCCCCTATTGCTCCACTTCAGCGGCACGAGGCGTGAGATGACCACTGTGCTCAGCAGAAGCTGATGCAACACGCCTCGCACTGGAACGCAGTCGAGAATTGTGGCTGCGCGAGCCAATTCATCCTTCTACACAGTGACACCAGTCTGAAAAGAAGCCTGAAGTGTCGTGAGTCTGGGAGGTGCTTGCAGCAACGTGATACCGGTCAAGGCACCCACAGAGATGCCAGTCTCACCATCATCTGGTAGACGTGGCAGAGCTGCGACGTTCTCAAACGCCAAGAAGCTTCCGCAGCGCCGTGGACTCGATTGGCCAGGTCCAGCGGATGATCAAAGATATGCCAGGCCCATCCGGAAGCTTCGAGGCGGCTAGGACCAAACCGGAACCGCCACATCCAGGAGCTATCAAAGCTACCCTGGTCGATCACGTCGAGCGCCGGCTACCCGTCGAATCTCAGCCATGACCTCCCAGGTATGCTGGCGTAGTGAGTGGTGCTGAAGGCATTAGGGGGCATATACCATCTGTCCGAAGACGATCCTGCGACTCTTGCCCCTCCTTCCGGGCATTGACAGTCCAGAGAAGGAGGGGTCACGCCATGGCACACCCGTTTCGTAATGCTCAGCGAGATACAAGAAGACCTTGCTGCGCACTCGATCGAGCATCAACATCATCATCTCTTCTCCATCACAACACATTATTGAGCTTCTCAGTCACGCAGAGCACCCCCCACATCCCGCGCCTCCCATCATCCCCCAGTCGGATATACCACACTCCACAGCAATGGCAGCACCAATTCCCGAGACACAATGGGCGCAGGTCGTCGAGAAGACCGGTGGGCCAGTGGTGTACAAGCAGATTCCCGTGCAGAAGCCCGGCCCCGATGAGATTCTCATCAACATCAAATACTCGGGCGTGTGCCACACCGACCTGCACGCTGTGAATGGTGACTGGCCACTTCCCACCAAGCTTCCCCTCGTCGGTGGACACGAGGGTGCTGGTGTCGTGGTCGCCATGGGAAGCCTCGTGAATGATTGGCAGCTGTAAGAGCATTGCACATACACCCACACATACAAGCTGTCGGGGGCTCGGAGTAAGCTGACAGTCGATAGTGGTGACTACGCAGGCGTCAAGTGGATCAATGGCTCTTGCCTGTCGTGTGACTTCTGCCAGACCTCAGACGAGCCCTTGTGCGCGAAAGCTCTTCTCTCTGGATATACGGTCGATGGCTCGTTCCAGCAATACGCCATCGCCAAGGCAGCACACGCAGCCCGCATTCCCAAGGACTGTGCACTCGATGCCATTGCCCCTGTGCTCTGTGCCGGAATTACTGTGTACAAGGGTCTGAAGGAGTCTGGGGCCAGGCCCGGTCAGACGGTCGCGATTGTCGGTGCGGGTGGTGGTCTCGGCTCGCTTGCCCAGCAGTACGCCCGCGCGATGGGTCTCAAGGTCATTGCCATTGACAGTGGCGAAGAGAAGAAGAAGAGTGAGTGGTCCACCATGTCGGTTCTGTGACGGCTGATGGAGGACGAGATGCTGACTCGTTCGTTGTAGTGTGCTTGGAGCAGCTCGGCTCATACGCCTTTGTTGACTTTGCCACGAGCCAAAACCTGGTCAAGGACGTCCAGGCTGCCACCGAGGATGGGCTGGGTCCGCACGCTGTGATTCTTGTGGCTGTCAATGAGAAGCCATTCCAGCAAGCGGCCGAAGTAAGTTCACCACACCCCTATCCACCCACCGACCATTCATGCACACAACTTACTTACACGTCTGCAGTACGTTCGTCCTCGCGGAACTGTCATCTGCATCGGTCTGCCGGCGGGGGCATATCTGCGCGCACCCGTGTTCGAGTCTGTCATCAAGATGATTACGATCCGCGGCTCCTATGTCGGTAACCGCAAGGACAGCTCGGAAGCCATCGAGTTCTTCCGCCGCGGTGTCATCAAGGCTCCTTTCAAGACGGTTGGTCTGTCGGAGCTCCAGAGCGTGTACGACATGATGCACAAGGGACAAATCGCTGGTCGATACGTCGTGGACACGTCGAAGTAGCAATGGAGATGTCCCATCCCATTCAAGACCTGTACATATGTAGTTTGCAGTATGGAAATTTTGTCGAATCCCTTCGTTTGACTCTGTGGTCGTGTGCTCACTATCCTGTCGCCATCCGTGGTGAGTGAAAGATGAAGAGGGGCGTGAGGCGGGAGTGATGAAGAAAGAAAGAAAGATGAAGCAACAACCTGGTGCTTGACGAGCGGGAGGGCGGTAGACGCGCGCGATACTGGATCGGGAAATGGCGGCCCATCCCTTGTCCGAGATCGGTCAGCGGGCCGAAGCCGGAAGCAAGTACTGTACCAGTACCTCCTACAGTAGGAGGTATGTCGCACGACTCCCTTTCGATGAAACACTCGCGCGCCTACTGTTCGCACTTCAGCAGAACGTCCACGTCAAGCAGAGATACGAATGGATGTTTGGACGAGTGCGTGAAACGAGGCCAGTTTGCACATAATTGACCAGTTGCGTCGGACAGGACTCATTCATCATCATCATCATGAGTAGGTAGGCGTGCTTCAGACTGTTTGGTCCTGAAGCCTCCATACCTACTCAGTACTGCTGGACTGGACAGTACCTCCTGGAGGTGGAGCCGTGGAGGTAGGTACCGTACCTCAGTCTGGTCTCTGGTGCACCGTTTGCTGCAGGTGCCGTGGCGCGGGAGCACCATTCACCAGAAATGAGGATGAGTGATGAGTGTGATGAAGAGTGTGGTGCAGGATGGCGGAAGCGGATATTGTAAAGAGCACATCCGGCAGCCAAGCAGCCCATCCTCCTGCAGTGCTACCAACCTACCAACAACTGGTGAGAGAGCGGTTGACGTGTGTGCGACATGTCATGTCTTGTCTTGCGCGGGCCACTGACAATGGGCGACGACATTGCTCTTCCAGCTGACTACATGTACTACACTCCCTCCCAGTCCTCACTTCTACCTGACTTGTTATCTACCTTGTAGGTACATACTCTACCTACTTTACCTGCCCGGGTTTGTTCCCTCCTCACGCTCCTTCCCTCCCAAAATGCCACAGTGCCTCTGGTAGCACTTGCCGACTTCCATATCGCGCTTTCCATTCAAGACATCCACCCACACACCCACCCACACACTCATTTTCAGCCCTCTTTTCCACACTCTCACCTACTCACCAACAACACCACTTGTTCATTCGTTTCACTCGCCATACCATAACCCGACCAGACCATACCATACCAGATTGCCCACAGCCGAGCCACTCGCCGCTTCTTTTCGATCCACCAGACGGCCTCAGCCATGTTCTTCCTCTTCTTCTTCACTTTCGTGCTCGCCACTCTGGCAGTGGCCCTCCCTTCACCTCTTCACAAGCGCTCTTTCAAGGCTCCAGTCCGTGGTCGCTCCAGCCAAGGCCCTCTGGACGACATCCTTCGCGTTCACCAAAAGTATCAATGGGCCTATGCTGTCGGCGCAGCGCCCGTGATCACGACTACCACCCGCCTCGCCCCAGCACCCTTCCCCACCTCGATCGTTCCTTCCACCACTTCAGCCACCATCGGCACCTTGACCACAGTCTCTGTCCCGAGCAGTCCCGCTCCCGCTCCACCTCCCTATCCAAATTCCACTTCTACAGACGGCAACGAGGACGGCGAGGTGCTAGCCACTCCGGAGGCCAATGAGATTGAATATCTGTCCCCCGTTACTATTGGGGGCCAGTCGTTCAATCTCAACTTCGACACTGGATCATCGGATTTGTGGATGTTCTCCAGCTTGCTACCTGCCTCCCTTATCGGCAACCACTCTGCATACAACCCTTCCTTGAGTCAGACGTATACTGAACTCGAGAATGCCACTTGGTCCATCTCGTACGGAGACGGAAGTGGGGCATCGGGGACGGTGGGCTTCGACACGGTTGATGTCGGTGGTACTACTGTCGATAGGCAGTGCATTGAGCTCGCCACCCGCATCTCGACTGCATTTACCCGGGATCCTGCCAGCGACGGTCTGTTGGGACTGGGTTTCAGCAGCATCAATCGGGTCAGTTCACACGCTGCCGTGAATTTCTTCGGCCATAGAGACCCCAACTAACACTTGCCAGGTCTACCCTACTCCACAGAAGACGTTCTTCGAGAACGTGATGAATGACCTTTCAGAACCACTGTTCACCGCCAATCTAATGGATGACTCTGGCGCTGGCACGTACGAGTTTGGCGTCATTGACGAGAGCAAGTACAAGGGAGACATCCACTACGTAGACGTCGATAACTCCCAGGGGTTTTGGGAATTTCCCGTGTCGGGTATACGAATCGGCGCCAATGATACCCTGACATGCAACGGCAAGTGCAAGTCAGCCATAGCCGACACTGGAACTTCTCTGCTCTACCTGGACAGCGATGTGGTGTCCACGTACTACGCGAAAGTGGCTGGAAGCCAGATGTGGGACCTGAGCACTTACATTTACCCGTGCGATTCGACTCTGCCAGATCTATCTCTGGATTTCGGCGGTCACTACATCACTATCAAGGGTGAGAAAATGACCTATCTGGCTTTCACTGGTGCAGTCAACGATGGTCCTGCAGGGCAGTGTATGGGTGGTTTGCAAGCAGGACCGAGCGGCCTGCAGATTGTGGGCGATGTCTTTCTCAAGCAGGTATTTGCTGTTTTTGATGGAGGAAACATGCGTTTCGGCGTGGCTGAACAGGAGTAACGCGCCTCGCAGAAGCGGACCCAGACGCTTCGCATACAGATACAGAAGCATGATGAGACAGAAACATGACGAGACAGACGTAACATTCTAGTGCAGATTAAAAGTTTGAGCGAAATGACAATGAAATGAAATGGTGACACTTTTGTTGCTACAACCCCCTTGTTCACGAAGATTTCCGATTGAATGGTGACTTTGGCGAATAAGTGCTAATAGACTGTTGACTGCGCTCCAGGATAGTCTCAACTTGGGACGCCAGCCCGCCCATTCATTGCGGTTTGCGATTTGCTCATCTCACATTACACGACTCCAGCTGATCCGCAAGCAGTTTTCATGTTCTTGCACAACTCCATATCAACTCCCCCGCTAAAACAAACATGCCTTGCACACATCCATCCATTCATTCCTTCCTTTCTTCCAGCCCATATTCTCACACTAGACGGAGAATCAATCAGCCTCCATCTCCATCATCCCACAAACCCCAACCAAACAACTCCCCCCTCCAAGAAATGAATAAGAAGATAAACTAAGAAAAAGATAAATTAAGAAAAAGAAAGAAAAGAAAAAAAAAAAAAAAAAAAAAAAAAAAAAAAAC